AAATTACTTAATTTTTAAACAATATTAAAAAATACGCTATTTTACTAATCCTGCGTTATCAAGTTTCGTCTAAATTTTCTTCTTCCTTGTATATTATTATTGTGACTATACAAGACTAGAATAATAATAATAAAATGGATCTTACAGAAGTATAGTGCGATGAGGTCGAATCGATTTAAATGAATTTTGTTAACACTTAAAGAAAATCTTAATTGTATGGAAGCTTGGGATCTGTTGGCCAAATGTGTAACTAAAAAATTTCGAAACGTAACGTTGCAACAGGACTACAGTCAGTTTGTCGGTAACCCAGTTCGTCAGTTACTAGTCAGTATGACGTCGGATTGTAAGATGAGGTAAACACCAAATGAGACACAGAGGTAGACAGACGCTCCTTTGTGTTCATCTCATTTTATATTTAGTAACTATTTAAGTAAAATTCAATTCCTTCAAACTACTTCGTAAGTTTGTGTTTTATCTCTGATCTAAGAAATTGATTACAGACATGTTTTAAGCTTGGCAAGCAGAGACTTTACAACTGAGCGGAAATTAACTTTATTCCAATTTTGCTGCAAAATAAAGCCTTTTGTTTTCCTTACTTGATCCTGTGATTGATACCGAAACTCTAAGACGAAAGACTGAATGAGAGAAAGAAAGAGAGAGGGAGAGAAAGTAAGACAAAATTTACTGCCTGCGCTGGAAATCATGTTACCACCGGAGCTCCTCTCGCTCTGTATGAGGAATTCAGCAGTGCTACCTAGCTTACAACTCAGGACTCAGCGAATCCCTCACAAAGCACGTATATAACTTTGCCTTATAAGTTTATATTGCAACAGAAACATAGCGGGATTGAAGCTTTGCGGTATGAAATTAGTTACCTTAACAAGAAGAGACATTGTGTACAGAGTATCGGAGAACCATTCTTAATTTTGTAAAGAGAATTCTGCTTGTGGGCAGTACCATAAGACACCAATTTCTTTCATTACTGTATTATTCTTTGTAGGAAGAATATTCTGTTTCATTCATTTATTTATTCACGGTCTATTTAATGACGCTATTGATAACTGTAAATACGGAAGAAGTCGTGGCCGAATATAAGTAGCATCATACCACTTGTAAGTCCCCCAATAAAATCATAAAATTCACAACCATCAAACTATGACATAAAAAACTAACGAAAAACTCTACCGGTATTCGATCGTAAATAATCAGGAAAACGATGACAAACCTGTCAGGATTGCCGTTGTGAGGTCCGAAATTTGAACCCGGGACCTCCCGAATATGGATATGGACTTCTAAGCACTCGGAAGCGACTTTCGTTCGAAGCTATTCCAAACCAAGTAGTATGAAGCCTTGTAAATACCCTCAAAGTAGCTTCTCCTACCCGGACCTTGAGTTTGTGTCATGCCTTCATAACAAGGACAACTTAACGTACGCAATGGTATTCAAGAATAAGGTTATTAAACTGTATAGAACAAAATATTGTATTATTAACTAAACTAATCGCTAATATTTTAAACATTTTATAGGGGAATATAATGTAATCACTGAAGTGGGCTTTGTGGGCACCGTCGAATGGATATGACCTATAAGCAGCGACAAAAGATTTCCCAACTTCAGCGAGGCTCTTGCTAACTGAAGGAGAATACAGGCCTCTGCGTGCTATTGATGCAGTTCGTCAGTGAGCCTAAGTGGTCTCGCAACACAAGCTGGCAGAAGGCTTAGCAACACTATTAAAAATCAGTTCTTCAGCGCAAAGTGGAAATGGTTGTAGTTTGTATGCGCACAGCCATTTTATACGTCCTGAGATAGGTTCTTCGGAAACGTGTTATTATAATGCCTTCAGTAATTCCCTCACCAAGAAAATATATTTCTTATTCCTGCACATTTGCTTATGCTCTGTCTGCCTGGAGGTAAGAGACGATGGATATAGTATAGCCTAATGCATTAAGCAATCTATGTATTAATATATCTCATAATATTTCTGAAGTTTATTCTCACTGTCAGTGTTACTGATATTTATTGTGCGTGTGCATTTTAAAGTTTCATCCTTAGTGTCACAGCTAGGTTCCATTTTTCCAGCCTGGCATCTTTCAGAAACTTTTAGGACAGAGTCCTTAACTATTTTTTCTTGTTTTATTACTCAAGCTCACAATAAACATTTACAGTCTGCCAGGTAATGTATTTACACAATTTAATTTAATACGGGCCCAAACAACCCTAGACACTGACGTCTTTCTAAACCCACACACACGCTGTGTACTAGGAACATGTACTGCCAACAAAACGTGTTTCTGGTAGCAGGAATCTTTTTTTCTGTAAAGCAGAATGGCACAGTACTAGTAAAGATGTAAGTGGACCACAAGTTTCACACTCCCTGTGTAAAATGTCAATAAAGTTTTAAATCGAAACTCACTGATTCAGAAGGTAAGTGTAAGCACGGACAGGCAGACATGGCCTTCCATAAACTTCTTTATGCTCTACAGATATAAATAACAGTTTCCATGAAATACCTCCTCAGCGAACAATGGCTGCTATCGTGTCTATGATATTCGAAACAATGTCGAATTAATCTGTCGGACAACAACAACGATAGCAAAATATTTCATCACAATTTCTGTTAGATTAAAAATTACTTCATTATCTTTTTTATGGTATTTTAATTATGAATTTGTAATTATTCGGAGAATTTCTGTATACCGTTCTCAATTTCTTCTTTCACGTGAATATAATTACAACCTTTTCACTTGGATAATTTCCAATTCACATATTATTTTATGTAAATTAAAGTAAATATATTTTTAATTTTGTTTCAAACTGAAATACCGGTTAAATTTCTATAAAGCCCATATGTCATTAAGGAAAATTTGTATTTTGCATGGGGTAAAATGTTTTTGAAAACATCTAGTTGCTTGCATTCACAGAAACTCGTTAATTATGACCTGGAAAAGTGGTGTGAGAGCTTGCTTTACAACCAGACGCTCTTATACGTTTTCATTAAGAGGCTGGCCTTTGTATTTAAATACATAAATACTAGAAGTAAACGTTTAACGGAAACTAGCATTTAGAAATCGTGTTTTGGTTCAAGTAATGCTAATATTCGGAACATTGGTACAGGTGTCGAACTTTCACTTCCAAGGGCAACTCATGCTTTCTCGAAAACCAAAACGAATCATAATTAAAAACAACTTGAAAGTCAGTAAGAACTTGGATTAGCTATATGAACCGCAGGTAATTTCAACACCAGCGAAGTGCTAACCTATAATTGCGGAAGTTTGCAACACAAGTGTTAGAAAAAATTATAAGGCAATTATTTTCCCGAAGTTTGAGTTCATTTCCTAAAACTGATTTCTCTATTCACCGCAAACATTTATAAACCGCCCCACTTCGTAATTCTTCACACCAGAGTGGGCATTTGCTCCTAATAAGCAAGCCAGACAAGGGCTGAACTAAAGAGACAGCACACTCGGCACTCCCATGAGGAAAACTGCATACAATAGCGTACCAATTATCCGATCTAAACGGGACCGAAGGATGGTCGGATAATCGAAAATTCTGGATAATACGAAAGACCAATGAAAAAGGAGATTCTAAATATCAACTTAATTCATTAAATGAAATTGTAAAGAAAACACAATACAGCATCAGATAAAAGAATTCACAAACTAAAATAGCCTTAACCTCAATAAGGGCATTATTCTCGGAAACAATGATTCGACAATCATATGGCATTCGAAATTGATATCAATTATCCATAGATATAAATACAAAACCATCAAAACAAGGCCAATTTTTTTAAACTGCTAATTAAAGCTGTCAGTAAGAAGCACGCGTCCGATACTTGGCGGATCTCGGTCGCTTTATGTGTCCGGAAGCGTTGCTCATTTTATAAATGCGCGAGTAATTGACAATTTTAACAACTAATACGACAGATCTGCCATAAAATAAACCACAACCAAGGTATCTGATATTCTAATAACAAACATTTCCAGGCGTTAATTAGAGAAAATGTGTTTATTTAATTCAAATACAAGGTAATTAAATTCTATAATTATTAATAATTGCTGGTAATTACTTTTTTATAAATTCGACCTTTATATCAGCGATTCTGTTACAAAATTATGATAACAGCTAATTTTTTGCTGTTGTTTCTTTTCAATATTAACACGATGTTACATCGATTAACCACAAATAATTATTATCACTTGCGTAACGAAATTTTAAACTTGCCCTTTGACCTTGGTTTGACATTTACCTAAAACGCGGCGCATAATTTAATTACCCATATAACGTACAGCGTTACACCTGCAACAAACCATTTTATCCACAATTGTTCCTGAATGATCTAAGAAAATGTCTGCTTCAGGAGACTGTATCTATAACAAAAGTGTATTTTGCATATTACAATTATTTATCGCTCGGAGCATTGACGTATGTCTGAGTTTTTCTGTGTCCTGTATCAGAAGATACCTTACAAAGAGACGAATGTAAGACAATATTTCTCGAAGTCTGAACATGACCAGAAGTACACCTATTTGTAGTGCACCAACAGAAATTAAACTTTATGCTGTATCTGTCACTTAATTACAGCTCAACCAGAGCAGCGGAATGAAGATACGAACGAGTCTGCTAATTAAAGACGTGGTTGTAGATTCTGCTGAACAGACAAGGAAGTCGATACGATATTGAACTCTTGCAGCAAGTAATTCTAGAAGCAGATGGAACGTAAACTTAACTGTCTGAACACGTTATGCACAGCCCACAGGCTTAATCCGAATTTGCTGTGTAGAAAATTGAATAGATACAGAGACTTGGGAAAGAAGTAAGTTGTATAACGTGTACGAAATGACTAAGTCAAGATCACGAACTTCAGAAGAAGCAAGCTCCCATTAAGGTTCTTTCAACCGAGATTCAGGTGTTGCAGAATTTTAGTCCAGCTTGGATCCGATAAAATAGTCCAACTAGAAAGAAGTAGAAAGTTTCCTAGCGAAATTTGCACTCACCGAAGCGCCTCTCTGTAATGTTTAGTAGCCAGATCCAACTGTCCTGTGTCCCTCAGGAAGTTGGCGAAGTTGTAGTGGAGCTTGGCGTTGTGTGGTAGCGCATTCAGACCCGCCCTGGAACACACACACACACTGCAATCAGCTCACCACTGCTCGCCCTGTCCAAGTGCCGTGGAGATGAAACACCATTCTTTGACGAAATGCGATGAAGATGATCTCACCTGATGAGCGCCTGTCGGGATGCCCAGTCCTTGTTTCTGGCCACAGTTCGTCCGCAGAACACGACGAGCAGTACGACCCCCGCACACAGCAGCAGAGGTCTCTGGCGCAGAAACGCGCCCCAAAGCAACTGGGCGCCATACACAAGCAGCAGCACCATCCCGAGGCTGGGCAGAGAAACAACGCCTCTGAACTCATTTAAAGGCGAAACGTAATCCTTGTTTTCTGAATAAGTGAAAATTACGACAGAGTTTTACGTTCGTGGCTGTTGTCCCAATCGAATGTTCCAAGGTAAATACAAACAAGCTTGGCACTCACGGGAAGGCACGAAAGTTTCTCGAGGAACCAGAAGCTCCACAGATAATTACGATACACCAAATAAATCTTTCACGAAAGCAACGAGCCGGCTGTGTAATGTGTATTCACCTGGGGATATAGAGCACTCTCTCCGCCACCACGAAGCCCACAGTGACCACGAGGTTGGCTGCTGGTAGAAAAGGCAGCACCAGGAACAGGCCTCCGAGCAGCAAGGGCGGATGCCTCTGTTGCTGCAAATAAGCCAAATTATGTAGGAAATTAAATTTTAGACGTTTCAGAGGAGGTGAATTGAACTAGCAAATTCCCTCTCTCATTATAGTTATGATGGTATGGGCAGATAGTCATTGACCCTTCGGTATTAGCACTGTTACTGAATGCCACAGAGACAGGCGGATTAGTATTACACAATAGCAGATAATTCTAGTCGTCAGTGAAGTTAACCCACAGAACCCAGGTCGCTAATACCCGGCATTGAAACTTCACTTTGGTACCAACTAGCTACTGCAGCCCTAGGAACGATAGCGTAATTTTGTAGCGTAATGCATTTGACGTCATCGCAGACAAGCACTAAAGACAGTTGGAGAGAGAGAGAGAGAGAGAGAGAGAGAGAGAGAGAGAAAGAAATAAACCCTAACATGTAATTAACTGTTCTACGTACTTTGTACTTCGCTTCAGAAATGATCCATTTCTTGTAAGCACATCACGCAGTAAAATGTACAGTCTGTATACGTGGGAGGTTCATTAAAAATTCACCCGATATAAAGATTCAATACCATCGGTTCGTGAGAAAATGTATGCCCTCCTGCATACATCGCGTCGAACGCTTGGGATGTTTTTGAAAATCATGCGTAAAACTTCACTCTCAGGACGCTAGTATTAAAATAAGAAAACTGTTGTTTTGTTTGAATGTTTAGGTTTTAGTCTACTTTATTTAATTAACAACAACAATCAGGCTTATTACATAACTATACTGATATTGTGAAAGCAGCAAACTTCGAAGCTTCACAACCTGACCGTGTTTCATCGTGCAGATTTTATACCACTGGAGACCGCCCGAAACTAGGTACTTTTTAAATTCATAGAATTATTAGACCTTACAACAACCTGGGTGACGCACGTGAAAGCGATATTAATGCCACTTAATTAATATTGGGACCTGAAATGACATATAATAATAGAACTTGGAATATGCAAATTTTATTACAGATATTTTTTAAATGTAAAAACAACATGCAACAGTGTTAAATCTTCATGTAGCTCGCAGTTTGACATCGACAGCTAATGAATATTAAATAATATCTGGCGACAGATTATAAACATTCCTACTGTATACTCGTATATAAATTATTGTTTACATGTCTACACCTCCAAATGTTGCTACTATTCAAAGTTTTGAGTTTATATTCGACAAATGTGACGTAACAAAATCTCTACTTCAGTAATAAGTTACATAAAAATAATAATAATAATCTGCAGCATTTTTATAATTAAATTATTCGATCCTACGACCATCTACATCATATAATCAGACTGGCACACGACAGATGTCGCATTATACTATTTGATTATTAACTTATATTAACTAAACATGAAATTGAGACCTTGTAGTACTGTTATGTATAGGCATGTTGGCTTGTAAGTTCTATTCTAGAACTCCTCTTCATTATTTTTAACACATTATTGATCCTAACATCGTTCATTCTGCATGCACTATATTATAGCTTATAATGGCTTAAGTGGGATAATGTGTGCTCGATTAGGAACGTAACCACCATTAATAAAATTCTGTGTATGGAAAATCGAGTTCCGAAAAAAAAACACTTGTGAACGAACTTTTGAAAAGCAGCTGGTTCGTAACGCGGAGTCGTCATGAAAAGTATGCACTATTCTTCAAAATCCTTTAGAGAATTCGTATCGAGTTCAGTCTTCGAACAATACACGAACATTCCACATACATAACTGATAGAGCTACGTAATTGCCATTATAAATTTCATTTCGGAAGAGACAAATCACCTATTCAACTGATAGGCTTGTATGTGCTACAGTAAATATTCAATAACGCTACAATAGATGGCTTGTTATATTGTCACTGGCATACCGAGAAGACCATAATGGGCACAGCGTGTTTTATTAAACAGCTGGGAAAATAATGTATATTGGAGGGCTGTTATGCTTTAAGCATGATCAATTATGCAACAAACTAATAACGTTGTTAAGGGATATACAAAACACACTTTTAGTGCCTAAATGCATATAGGGACAAACAGACACGAATTCGAGAAAAATAATTTTAGATTCTGTACCATTTAGGAAAACGATGGGGTTAAGAAATAATTAAAGATTTTCAATAAACTGAAATTAAACGCCATTTGTGAAGCTTCTCTTTAAGTCAAATCATATAACAGTAGGCTTCTCTTGTAAGTTTAATTATATCAGACGTCAGGATGGTATTATATTTAATTTCTACATTAACATTCACTCAGGGCAATTCAAAGCAACATTTTAAATAATATACAGTGATAGATTCAATGGAGGTTGTGGGGTTATTGGCTCGATCTTGTGAACACGGTAATAAATTTCGGGGTCCCATAATGCACGGGGATATGTTAACATCACAGCTGATATCACCTTAAGACTTTATCAAAAAGAATTAACTCTCATTTTCATCCTCGACCAAACCGGCCAATGAAATTCTATTGTTATCAGTTCCGTGAAATAAAACGTGATAGGTGTTCATGTACTCAATAAATTTAATCTACAGAGTGCCCCGTAAGTCTAAATCCATGAGCGGGAAAAGAGTTCGGAAACAATTGTCACAAAGTTTAAGTTTTGCAATTTCTCGATGACGCACGCACAATCACTTCCGTGAGTTCGTCTCTTCTCTATTTTACACCTAAAAAATGCGAAAGCGAGTACTATGCGAGATGCGTGTATGTAATCATGCAAAGTGTGCGAAATTTGTATCCGATTTTAAACAAATTGTAATTTTAAGAAAATGTTTAATGAAAGATTTGAGGTTTTCACAGCGGTGAGTATGAAGATTTCTGTCTTCTGGGTTGTTGCGCTGTGTAGTCTGGTCGATGTTAACCAACGTTTCAGAGGTCATACTGCCTCCGTCATCAGGGCGAATAAAATATGAAGATTTCTGTCTTCTGGGTTGTTGCGCTGTGTAGTCTGGTCGATGTTTACCAACGTTTCAGAGGGCATACTGCCTCAATCATCAGGGCGATGACGCCCTGATGACGGAGACAGTATGACCTCAGAAACGTTGGCAAACATCGACCAGACTACACAGCGCAACACACCAGAAGATAGAAATCTTCATGTTCAATGAAATTCCTCAATATCAAATTTAATTAAATTTATGTCAACAGTTCTCTGTGTAAGAATTGTACAGTTCACTTAACGATTCTGTCCTACTTTCAATTATAGACATCGTTTTGAATGATAGAGTGATTAATGAATGACGTTTTGGAAAGTTTCTCACGTTGTCGCATTCCGATAAAGAGACAGATACAGAGAACAGACGAGGCTTTGCAACTTCGATGCTAACATGCCCAAAACGTTTACAAAGCGAACTGCGTTTCATCTAACTGTTCATTACGTTATTTATTTCAGTCACTGTTCAGACTGGTCAGTCCTGTCACGGGGCTAGAACACTTGAAGCGCGATATTCTCATACGCCGGGGTTCATAGGCATACCCGCACTACCAACAGAATGAGCGCATAATTCATGTCTAGAATATGTGCTATATACATACAGAATTTGCTAACGATCCTCTTAATCTGGCATCGTATATCATGTTATAATTTCATTCCACAGGTGCCTAATATTCAGCTTAATCCTGGTCCAATGTATCACCGAGTTGTGTTTACGTATAGAGGGCTGTGCAAGTTATGAAGAGGGATATTATCCTTGACAATTCACCGCCTGCTTTCTTTGAACATGACTAATGGTGGTAGATCCGAGAATCTTTAGGATTTTAGATAATTCTGGACTTGAATCTTATTCGCAGTTAACACGCGTGCAACATATAAATTAGTAGTAAGCCTAGACCTAGCACCTGCGGAATACAAAAAGTAGAGTAATTAAAGATGCTAGTCTCTTGGGATGTTTCGCCGAATAGTCTTGTACAACCTGACCGACGTTTCAAAGGTGCTTATTTCCTCCATCATCAGGGCAACGAAGAAGCCACGCGCGGAAAAATTTGTTTACATATCGGAAAAAATCTCTAACAAGACAGACACTTGGGTGGACCAATGACCCTTCCTTTATTAAACACATATTTTACGGGTGATACAATTAAATTATTTTATTCTAAAACTTTATCTTGGTTAATATTCATTAACAACTCAATAAAACTATTGAAATTACAAATAAATTCCAGCACTTTGCCACATTATTTAAAATCACTACGTTTCAAATCCTTATCAGTACTGTTAGCTTGAATTGCATTAGTTACTAGGCAAGCATATGATATCTCATTTTACTACGTTCACTCTAATACGTAATGTGTATCGGTGTTAAAAGTCGAAACATTCATGAAATCTATGATAATCGCAGTGTATACGCTTTCACCAGATATAATCTGGATTCTGATATTGAAGGTGTATAGATCCAGTGTTCATAATTAAATTCAATGCACATAGAATATTTCGCTACTAGCGTTAGTCGATATTTACTCAGAGCAGCGGCATGGAAACGGTTTCGAAAGTGGCTCAAAACAATTTATAACTTTATCACTTAGAAACAGGCACTGCTTTGGTTGTACCATTCAGGAAATTTACCGGCAATGCGACTTCATATTTGGTAAGAAGAGAAAGAACAATGACATTAAAGCAACATCTCCATAAAGAAACGGAATGTAACCACATCTAGAAGGGGATTAATATCATGTCTGATCCTAACATCGTTTATAAGCAATAGCATTGCTTTCCTGATTAACGGTACTTGATTAAATTATATAAAAAGGAAATGAAAAGCAATTTAAAAAGTTCAAAATTATTAGGCCCTTTTTCTAACTTTATCATAAAGATCAATAAGACATAAATGGGTGGAGCCTAATTTCTGGGATTTAATGGAACACGAACATTCATTGCCATGTTCACAAGAGACCACCAGAGAACCCTATCTAAAAAAAAAATCCGAAGACCACAAGGATGTGTTTTAATCGGTTTGGGTTCGTATTTCAGGACATTATTAAGCATTTCTCGTATGTCACACAAAGGCTTTACCATTAAACAGTTCATCCTCAGCCCTTTCTCTCTCTTGCGTCTATACATTCTCAGTTCAAAAACATCCTCGTATAAAGGTGTATATAATGTAATAGCTAGAGCACTCATTTTAGCTCGAAATTTTCTTAAGACAAGCAGTTATGAAGTAATTCAACTGCTTATTCATTGGGGAAATCTTATGTGCGTCTAAGAGTAGGCCTTCTATCCGTCGAACAACGTTCTAAAATTTACCACCGTGGCCCAGCGCTGTAACGTCTTAAAACACCAAACCGTTGCCAGGCAACAAAACAGCTATGGGAATAGAAAACATCATGTACTGTAGAAAACTGGTTATGACCCCACAGCAACCAAGCAGAAGCACAGGAGACCACTAAACGAATGATTCTAGTTGTGTCCCAGAAGTCCAAAAACACAGGTAATATTGGAGCGTTGAAACAGCTAATATGAAATGCGCTCAATATGTCAACTAAACTTAGCAACCCCTCAGTGACTGTAACTTCCAAACCCACAATTACTTCCACACGTTCTTTACTGAATTTCAATGCTCGCAACTGAGACAAAGAGAAGACGTAGATTATATTTCCTGCGGATTTAAACTCATAGGACACTCTGTATATAATAGACATGCGTTATCCTTACCTCGAAGTCGGCGATGCCCCTGTAAGCGACTAGGATGCAGCATCCGAAGAAGAGACAAGTGGCGATGTTCCTGGAGTCTGCGAGAGAGGTGACGAGCGACACGGAGCCCATCTGCCAGTCGTGACTGAGCGTGGCCGGGCACAACAGCAACCAGCAGTTGAACGCCGCAAGGTAGCAGAACGTCAGGAATCTGCAAGACCGACAGTGATACTGTGAGGATAAAGATCATTACGAGAAAAAGTGGGGGAATACACACAGACATTTGTCAGGATAATATTGCGAAGTATGAGTATTCTTGTCATTAGCTATTCTTGGCTGGAGTTCAGTGTATAACTTCGGGTCTCACGTGTTAAACGTGTCAAATATTATGAAGACCAACATAAAAGAAATTAATTGAAGTGTCACGCGCAAGACTTAAAGCACATTATTGCATACGAATGGTTTGGACACTCAGCCACTACGTTGTTCTGAAGCAACCATCTTCTCAATCACACAAAAAGTGACAACATACTTTAAACGTTAGAAAATTTTGAAAACACAAATATCTATAACGGATAACTTTTATTTAGATTATTAAATTAATAAGAGTATGAATGAGTCAGACAAAATATCTTTATAATAAGCTAATATTAAAAATCTTAATAAACTATCCTGAGAGTCTTTATACTTATCTAGTGTAATTCTTACAAACTGTAACATGTCTCTTTTGTTAGGAGTTGTACAATGCACAACCCTGTTTTTGAAACGACAATTATGTTCGTAATTGTCTATTTTATATAAAGTATTTGTTTATTCCGAAAAAAATTTCGATTATCTTTCATGGAATTATTATCAATACTGTGTTCTGAACACATCATTTTATGAGCCGTCATTCTAACAGCGGGGGCAACAGACTACAATCGAGCTATTGGAGGCTAAAAATTTCCGTTATTTTTCTGTTCATCAAAATAATATGTCGTTAAAATTCTCGCAGCCCTATAGAACATCAATTTTCACAACAGAACGAAACTCTGGTTAAGTGCCGACAACTATTGGAGTTTTATGACCAAACGTGACGAGAATATTGCCAAAAAAATGGGGGAAGAGAATGAGAACAATTCTATAAAAAATAGTTCCATACAAAAGCTTTGGATTATTATGAAATATTTCATTCGAAAAGCAGACAAGGAACGAAAATAAACGGAGAAAGACTGGCGTCAAAAAATACAATATAACTGGCATTCCTCCTATTGTTACATTATAGCACCATAAATCCTTCGGCGAATTGGGAAGTGGAGAAAGTGAAGGGGACAGAATATACGAAATAGTGGCAACCTTGTTTCAGAGTAAAAATATCCGAGTCACCGTCTGTTTGTTCTTGATAACGAGATTATATTCTTCCCTTCGCTTGTTCCAGTAGTTTGTATCCTACAAATATGCATCATTACGACACATTGCTATGATATATGCACTTACAGAGTAGCTAACAGAGTTCTGCAAGCATATACAATCCAACTTTTTATTACGTGGGCAGGTCGCAGACGTATGTGAACCGTTTTATTAAAAGAGAAAATCTGTCTTGACCTTTTAAAGTTCTGATATATTTCAGTATGCAACAAAATGACAAGAATAACGCGAGGAATAAGTAAATAATGAATTCAATTCATGGAAGAATTCATAAAGCCTTCTTCTCGTGCATATATTTCTCTTCATGCAAATCTTGTGATGCAATTGGTATATTTATTTATTAAGTTTATAATCTAATAATGGAATGTAATTGTAACTAATATGAACGTTCTCGGCTCGATCCCGGTTCACTGTACCCGCTTTGCTGTCTGCCCTATCAGCACTATGAGATAAACATGATCCGAAGTTCCAACTTTTGAAATTTCATTATCATTTTATTGCATATCGTTATAAGAAACAAATTTACCAATAATTGCTAATTTAAGAGCGCCTATATCTCTTCCTTAATTAACTAACCGATGTACTAACCTAACCTAACCTAACCTAACCTAACCTAACCTAACCTAATCTATAGTTTACTTTTGTTAGGTTAACCATAGACACACAATGAGCTATCACTAACAACATTGTTAAGTTACTAGCATAAGTGCACACACGCGTGCGCGTAAAAGCGTGCATGAGCTACGTCATAGTTACCAAAAAAACACGGAGACCACCAGGCTTATTTACTGTCATTTCCAGTTATTTCAAATGTCTAGTTTTAGCTTATATCCTTGAATAAGTATCACATTTTAAACCAGAATTTCAATTCACACGAAATTACATTTTATAAGCCACATCCACATTAACAAAAATCTTCCTGGCGGTTTTTTATCCAACTGTCCGCGTTGCCAACAGCAACACAAGCCAGAAACCACGCTAGAACACAACTGTTCGTTGCTGCCCGAGTCGTTCTGTGTTCCGCTGTGAAATGGACAAGCAGAATTAACCTAGTTTGCAATTACTATAAAAATGTGGCAGTGGTGGACGTTATAGCCATGTGAGAATGCAGATATGATACAGGCCGAGGTAGGGGGACGCAATAATGTGCGTGTATAGTGTTGAAACAAGCGAAGTAAAACTGCGTTTGTTATATCGTAAAGGGCCGGATTCTGACAGTTCTGACGTTACACATAAATTCCTGGCACGTTCTGGAGTTAGGCAGAGCCACTACGGAAGCTGAGGTGTGTCTCACGATGGCTTCAAATCAACAGTGGCATATGTGTGTAAAACGGCTATTCCTTAATAATGACGTCTATATAATTAAAAAACTGATTCTTTTATATCAGCGTTTACTTGTCTGAAGCAATCGAAAAACGCGAGGTTCGAAATCTAGCCAAGACCCGAAAACAATTGATGAAGACTGATTCCTGACAGTCACTCTTGGCAAGTAGTAGTGCATGAACATTAAGCCGAAACTTTTCTCCGGATTATTTTTTTTTATAATTACACTAACATATTTCATTCGATGCAATACAGTCTCCGCAGTTGATACAGTCTATATAATGAGCAACTATTGGTTCTTCTGCTTCAATGGACTTCGGAAAAGAATAGTTGTGTGACTGTATAACAATTATTTACATATTGACATTAATATTCTAATTTGAACGACTATTATATTGGCCTTCCACACAACTTTTGAAACATTCTAGAGCAGACTTCCTGAATCATACAAGTATACATTATTAAAAAATATTACGTATTTTAATACATAACAAATTTCATTACCAAACATAGAATGCAGTATAAGTGGATTCTCAGCTATAGGTCGAAGACATGAGTATCGTAAAACGAATATTTTAAATTTTTGTGTTCACGGATTTTATAATTCTTCTCGATTCTCTTAAAAATTTAAGATTCGGTCACATAAATGACCGAAAGTAAAGAACTAAGAAGCCAGTTACATTTATTAGCAAATTCTCTCAAAAGCGATTATGAAAATCGCATTGCTCGTTGTAATGTTCTGCTCATTTCGTAATAGCGAAGTTGCAAAACAGAAGAGCGCCGTGCTCTTGCGGCAACTTCTGCAGCACACGCGTGAGACACGTAATCTAACACACAGGCTCTATAACTTTCTGCAAATGCCTGGCTGACTTCTACTAACCTTTCCAGCGTGAACCTGAAGAAGTGATACATAATTATGTAAAAGCTTTATTTGACATGTTGTGAACATTTTTAATTTGTTTTTAATTTTAATTCTGCTAACATACTTGTTGGTATCTACCTGCAAGAGGACACTTGCATGCAGAAAATTAAAAAAAGGCAGTCACTTCTAAAAACGTACTTGTCTGAAGCAATCGAAAAACGCGAGGTTCGAAATCTAGCCAAGACCCGAAAACAATTGATGAAGACTGATTCCTGACAGTCACTCTTGGCAAGTAGTAGTGCATGAACATTAAGCCGAAACTTTTCTCCGGATTATTTTTTTTTATAATTACACTAACATATTTCATTCGATGCAATACAGTCTCCGCAGTTGATACAGTCTATATAATGAGCAACTATTGGTTCTTCTGCTTCAATGGACTTCGGAAAAGAATAGTTGTGTGACTGTATAACAATTATTTACATATTGACATTAATATTCTAATTTGAACGACTATTATATTGGCCTTCCACACAACTTTTGAAACATTCTAGAGCAGACTTCCTGAATCATACAAGTATACATTATTAAAAAATATTACGTATTTTAATACATAACAAATTTCATTACCAAACATAGAATGCAGTATAAGTGGATTCTCAGCTATAGGTCGAAGACATGAGTATCGTAAAACGAATATTTTAAATTTTTGTGTTCACGGATTTTATAATTCTTCTCGATTCTCTTAAAAATTTAAGATTCGGTCACATAAATGACCGAAAGTAAAGAACTAAGAAGCCAGTTACATTTATTAGCAAATTCTCTCAAAAGCGATTATGAAAATCGCATTGCTCGTTGTAATGTTCTGCTCATTTCGTAATAGCGAAGTTGCAAAACAGAAGAGCGCCGTGCTCTTGCGGCAACTTCTGCAGCACACGCGTGAGACACGTAATCTAACACACAGGCTCTATAACTTTCTGCAAATGCCTGGCTGACTTCTACTAACCTTTCCAGCGTGAACCTGAAGAAGTGATACATAATTATGTAAAAGCTTTATTTGACATGTTGTGAACATTTTTAATTTGTTTTTAATTTTAATTCTGCTAACATACTTGTTGGTATCTACCTGCAAGAGGACACTTGCATGCAGAAAATTAAAAAAAGGCAGTCACTTCTAAAAACGAGGACTGAGACTGACGCTGGAACGTTCTGTCTTGTTTGATCATAAATCTAGTCGATTTTTGGACTAAAATGATTAATGCAAATTATCCGTTGCAAACAATGAATAGTATTTTATATTCACCGTGACATATGCCCTTTGTGCACTATTTTGGGCAGTTCTGGATAGGGAAGCGGCAGGTGCTGTTGAAATGAAGACGCACAGGAGGATGCGAAAACGGGTGTTGATGGTCAGAACAGAGACAGAGCGAAACGGAAACACGTCATTGCAACAGCCCAGTTATACCGACTCTACCTTTCATTCACAAAACTAAGAGACATGAAAACTGATATTTTACTGCACACCCAAACTCCGAATACAATTTTGTTCTGCTGTTATCCTTCAGACATATCCAAATTCAAAGTAATGAAAGGGGATACGTTTTAGCTCTAAAGAGTATCATCTACAAGTTTTCTCTGTACGTCTTGCTATAAGGAGACAAGGGATAAAATGTGAACTCAAAACTCAAATTTAGAGTAGCAGTACGTAATATGAAAACGCGTCCTTTTTTGCATTTTTCTTTTCATCAATGCCCGTTAAATCAACTTGTTTCAGGTAAATTACAGGATGTTTCTGAAATAAACAACATCGCTTAAGGGGTCTCCTACCAATAAAACATGATTTGGGAATTAAAAGATAAAACTCTAGAAGGCGATGTATAAGTTGGTTCAGATCCGATGCCACTCCTGAGGGAAAGTAATCAAGATGTCCTTCGCATAGGACCTGGATGGGTTCCAGAGATGGTTTAGACGTGCTGATAGAAAGATAAATCCTGCCTCCATCGAGAATCGAGTTCCAGTCATCCAGTTCACGCTCAGTCACTTCCTTTAGTGAGTTATTCTGCTCATGCACGTCTGGATATAAGCAAGTAAAAACAGGCAACGTTTGAAATATCGCAGCAGTGTTAAAACATGCCACAGTTGTTGTTTTTTAAGAGAAGGACTTAGTTGCTTTATGCACTGTTAGGTTTTGTAACTTCAGAACACCGCAGGCATAGATCGATACGTAAAGACAAGATAAAGCACGGCCCTTCAGAGGAATTAATGAGGAAAAGAAACAGTCGAAGTTCCTTAAAACCTTCGTGTCAGTGGTTTTACCAGATCTGTAACCAGGTAAGGCAAGCTTATTGTAAGCCAGACTGGACAACTGAAATGACTATTATCATCATCATCATTATTATTACAGCGTTGTGAACATTTAATAACGTTTTACTTGAAATATAAGTTTTCAGTTTGCCAAATAACTGCATTAAATGAACCACAAACGATGTACTCAAATTCAAAAACAAAACATTTAAAAAAATGTGCTTAATCCAGTCCAAGGGTATTTTTTTATACTATTGCGTACTTCTTGATATTATCGGCAACCGGATTGATTCACTTAAGTAGGGTTGTGTTATTGCAATGATTTATAAATTTGAAAGGATAACAGAACAAAGTTCGTTCAACAGTATAGATTTTACGCAGAATTCAACGGCGGCATCTCTCACACATTTTCTGTTTAATTTTGCCATTCCATTGGGACGCACATTTTTTCCAAAAATCGCCAAGCGACGTCATTCCTCTCTCCTCCTAACCCCTCGATCCTATCATAACGTCTCCAATAATCTAATAGGTTCTGACTTCAGTTTCTAACACCAAACCGCACACAACTTCACCGTCCAACCTTCACCTCCAAACGAATAAAAAACTTTTCTGCCTTTCTTTTCTGTCTGAGGAAGAACACTGTCACATGATTTCAGATACAGAAATAGTTAACCACTGCCTCTCGCCCAGTACATGTACGAAGGGGCTAAACTTTCCTTCTGGCCAATCTGTTCTGAGAAATGTCCCAGCAGTTTGACTGGGCGGGTCATGTGTTCGCTCGAAAGAAACTCCAATTAGAGTCAGACTCCGTTCAGCAGACTCGTAGGTAGACACAGAAACAAGATTTATACTTTAGCCTCATGTGGGGGGTTTCATATAGCAGTATTCCCTCTGCAAGTGAAAATGTAAAAATAGATTTCATGCCATTAAGAGACTCTAAATAGAATCGCGTCTTCTACAAACGCCTTTCAAGTGTTAATCTTTAATTTCTTACCCAAGTTTTAGACCATATAAATAATCAGCTCTTTTGCATACGAAATTGGATATTCAACACAACTAATAACATAGCCAGGTTTTACGCAGTACTTTGAGCAAGTTCAGTCCATTTCCTGGGAGCGGTATCATATAATATTCGATGGGGTTATTTATTTATTGTATATTTGGAAAAGTTCCAGAGACTAACATCATATCACAGGAGCTAAATGGCACATTAACAGTGTGCATATGTGGCATACAATTTCAAAGTATACGTTTCATATTAATGTTCGTTACATCGAAACCATCCCGCATTTATTTAGCTTTATTTTTCTGTCAAACAGCTTTTAACTGAAAGCAGAAAGCTGCATTACCGAAAATTATGCGAACCTCCTAATTTAAAACACACATTATATCGTGCGACATACCAATTATCGTTAAAATTAATTACACGTACTATTTAAAATTTTGAAATTGCATTTGTCCAAAGCATTTATCACTTACGAACGTACACACAGAGTTAACACTTAAAGTTGCAAAACAGAGTTTGCGTAGACCTGTGTCTATCTGGCAGTAATTCCAACTCAATGTAAACGTTAATCATTACCTCCGTAGTAAACTACAGAGTTCAGTATCAGTTATAGTCGCAGGGCTTTAATTTAATACAGGGGTAATTGAATATAAAATAGTTACTGAATTTAAGAACGTAGAGGGGACAGAGATAAAAATCAATATTTGTGATCAGGAAATTTGGGACCGGAAAGAAATGGAAACAGCTGCAGATTTGACAACTGTTTCTCATTAGCAGGTGTACATAATTAACACCATGAAGCAGAGTTCTTCTTGAGAAGGCAACAACCACTCAGCTTGTGACGCAATTCCTCGCCTATTACGAAACCCGAAGGCCGGTTGCCGTGTTCACTAAACCCCGTCGCTGACCCTAAGTCAGATGAATCCAGTCTGCACATTCAAACTCCATTTCTTTACTACACACAGAACACTTCATTTAACATCGCTCGGTCTTACTTCCAGAAAGTTTTCTTAACCAATATATCTTCTTTGAGCGCATGTTTTGGTCGCTAAGAGAAGCATCGTGCATCGAAATGCGCAATTATTATTGCACAAACGGTTTTCAATATTGATTAAGAAGACAGGGTACTGACCTGACATGTCGGCAGGGGTGAAATGCCGCTGGGTTGTCCTGGTTCGAGAATTTGGGCATTGAACCCTGGTGTAGTGCAAGTCGTATCACGAGTAGGAAGCTCAGCTGAAAACAAAGAATTTCTTGTGGTATAATTCTGTTTGGTAATAGCGCGACTGACGTGAGCAGTGGTATATAAACAACGGTGACCTTGACTCGAGTTGTCACGGGGGAGATCGGGAGAAATTATCGTACGAGGATGGACCTGCTTCTGATTTAACTCTGTTTGTAGTACGTACAGTTCCATTCTTACTAATTCAACAGCTTCGAAAGGAGGGAAGTTAATGATGGAACGGAAGCGTTGGTGGTATATTCTAAGAATCTGTCATAACATACGCTTAGGGGGTCAAAAGAATCTTTCACAAACCTCAGTCACGATGCACGGCCTTCGAACTAGTAATCGAACTTTTGACCTCTTGAATACAAATTAGTATTATTAGCCAATAAAACGTCAAGTTCGGCGTGCACTATAAGACGAGTTTAACGAACTCCACACCTCCTGCGTGTTCTGACTGAGAAGTAATAATGTGATAATTAAGTTCCCCTTTTTCCTTACATCTTCCTTCCTCCTTTATTTGTTTCCTGCGTTTCTTTCCTTATTTCTTGACAAGCAGTACGACCTCCCGCGCAACACTTCGTAGAATCTCTCAGTCGTTACAAGAAAACACAGCAAACACCGACGAACATTCACGAGCCGACACAGATTGAAATCTAAAACACAAATGTGTTACCAAGCGCGCCACAAATTGAGTGGACACTAAATTATTAAAACACACCAATGTCATCTAAGGGTTATCTTGAAAATAAATATGGATCCTGTCAATGTTTTGTGTCTAAACACATGGTTCTGAATTAGTAACGTTGAATACATAATTACCGTATGTTTGAAAATCTACTGTGAACACGGGCCACAGACACGTGTTGATAGACCACACGCCACGTCTGTCTCTTTACATATGAGGCATGTCACTACGATGTGACGTCATTGACACCAATGACTGCACTTGTGGTAAGTTCGAACTTTCCATATCGTGAGAAAATGGTATAAATATTTCAGACAGACACGGGACTGGCTAACTAAGCCCTATCAATAGTCAAATTCATGCTCAGCATTCGGTATAAATGCACAGAATAATATATTTTTCATTTTAATCGTAGTCTCTTTCTGTCGTCTGTATCTCTACTGTGCTTTCCGTTCTGCAAGACAAACAAAATACGCGCTTATTCCTATCTGTAGTGAAACTATTTCACTTGCCTGTTAGTTACGTAGAGAAAAGTTTATTATGAAACAGCGGTAATACGAAATAACGCCTGAAAAGGCCAATAAAATTAATGTTTCATGTCGCTGGTGTCTGGCAAGCCTGAGTAAATGTTGCAGACAAATATTTTTGGCGCCGTTCTACATTAAGGTCTTCCTCAAGACGTAGGCCGTTCTCAGAATGGCGGTCCTGTGTAGTTCCACGCTAGTGTTTACCAGTGACGTCTTCTAAATGTGCTTGAAATGATCGTGGTAAGCTGTAATTTTCATCAATAATTATAAGTATACCTTTTTTCTTCACATTCCAAAGCGACGTCCTTATATTTTAATATTTTCTTGCTTCTTAATTATATTTCTATTGGTTTGTATATAAACATACATGTCCATTTCTATATAAAAATCATGAAGTCGCTTTCGTTACACGGTATGGTTCTATCTGTAATATTTTATTGGTTCCATGGCATAGTAATTTAGTTATATTCGTATTTCTAAGCTTTCTTTGGCATTACATTCTTATCACGAATTCATATTCTAATCGTAGTTGCGTACTCAACCTATAATGACGTTTCATAAATTCTTCCTTAGCTAGATCTTTCCATCACGCTAATAAGTGTTCTACCAACCCGTAAAATTGCTGACATATTCTACACCTACTGCCTTCTACAGTTTCAGTACCAACATCTTCGTCCCATGGGTATTCAGTTCTTAATCTTGCATAGCAATTATCTCCCTTCCAGGTCATTCTTTAAATTCCTACGAAAAATAATCATATTTCACATAATTATTATTTGTACTGATTGTAACTTTTTCTTGCAGGTGATCTGAGAGCATTTTAAAGTGCAGAACCGAATATTATGATTATAGAGAGAGAATGCTGATAATTTGTAAACCTTGACTTAGAAGATGGCAAGCGGTTT